TTTTCGTGTGGGCGGATCCAAAAATGCCATAATATGGGGGAGGTGTGTTTAAAATATGGTGAAATGAGAATGCTCCACATCCAGCAAAATGAGTCTTGAGTACATTTTGTCACTTTTGTTTTTTATATGCGGTAGAAAGAAAATTCCAAGTTCCCCTTTGTTGTCAGTTACAGGCATCATTGTTAACAAAGGTGTATGGGTGAAAATGTTGAGTGGTCCTCTGAATTTTCATCAATCAAGATAATTCGAAAGGCCTTCGGTGAGTTGTGACGAGTTTGGGTCGCATTTTAACATGTTAGCACTCAAATGTGGGCACTTTACAAATCGCAATGAAAAATCCTCTTTTGTTCAGGAAAAACAAATCAACGGATTTATGTTAAGGTTTAGAAACAATTTTCTTCGCCTCTTTTATTTAGTTGCGATTGTTGCTGGAGAATTATTTGGGAGTTTGTTGACAAAGAAATGTAATTAGTATGACCCACCTATTACACATTTCCTAATTCATCTTTATTTGGAGTGACTCTTTGTTCCTTCAGATTGTAAATCGTTTTTAATCCCATATTTTGTAGAGTTAAGCGCCCCTGTTTAACATGAATGTGTTTTCTTGTCATAGATTTACTGTTCAGAAGACAACTTTGTGATCGGTTAATGGAATGCAACTAAAAAGGCATTGATGTGTTAGAAGTCATTTAGTCAGACGCCCTCTATGTCAACAACTTTTTTTTTTTTTTTTAATTGACTTTTTTTTAATAATTTGTATCGTTAGGCACTTTCTAGTAACCAATTCACGGCTGAATTCCCTTGTTTACTGAACCTCAACCCAAACCTTCCACCATTTGCTCAATTAGTATTTGGCACACTGGGTAAACCTCTGGCCCCAGGTTTCACAAAATCCCAGGCAAAATGCAAAACTGTTCTTGTTTACTTGTTTCATGACGTCCACAATTGTGAACCCCATGTATGCATTCATGTAGGCTCAACTGCAGAAAGGTGTTTATTTGGAAAACTGTAGAGGTCCACGACCGGCCGTATTGGGCCGGTTACTTATGTTCAAGTGGCCGCAATAACACGTTTGAAAATGCCATAATGCTTGTGATTGTAAATATGTATGTGTAATGTGGAGATTTTATTGCAAACTTTATGACTTTTACACTGACATCACTTTCGTTCTGGTGTGTTTGTTTCGCATGTCAAAATATTGCTATGATGTTTGACAATAAGGACAGCAAAGTCTTCAATGATTGTCAGCAAGGGAACAAGTGGATCTTATCTAGAGGGTTTCAAAGTCTGCAGATGTCAGGAGTACGTCATGAGAGCCGTTTTGCATGGTTTCTAGGATAATAAACAAAAATTGATCAAACTGCATACCAGCAGTCGCCAGGAAGGGGCAAGGCTCTTTGTGTGGGAGGGGGAACCAGTCATGGGCAATAACCTGACAGACCATCAACAATGGAAGGGGGTCAGTACTCAGCTCTTTTCAGGCAAATCAATGAATTCCAGACCCTGGAATCTTTCCTTTAGTTTCTGTTCCCGTTTCCCATTTTTGTTTTTATTTCTGGGGGGGGGTGGTGCCGTCCCTTCTGTGCCCCTTGTGACACCTGTTGCAAGCATATAAATGTAACCATGGATATGTACGTAGGCTTCTTATATGCAGTGCACTTGTTCTGATGAAATGTGAGTGGTTAACTCGCGTGGGTGAAAACTATTAGGAACAAAGCTCACACATACACGGTTAACGAGAAATTGTTGGGGACCCCCCCCAACCTTAGTCCACCCCTGACTTGGACATTGAGGTTTCCTTTTTTTTTTTTTAACGAAAGATTTTCATGCTTTTGTTATTAACTTTCAGGTGCAACATACACAACCAATTCATAGCTAGTTAGCCAACAAATTCTCTTTTCTTTTTAAATTTATGTAGACAAAAGCTGGAAATCATGCATGGAAAACAAGATGTATTGTATGTATATAAGCTATACACGGAAGATGGACGCAAGTTGGATGGACAATAGATAAATACATGATGTGTACAGTAACATTTGATCAGATCGACATGAGAAGCACGCTGTATGCATTGGCTCAGGTCCTTTGGTGAAAACTGATTGCATTTTTAGCAGACAGTTGAATTGCAAGGCTGTATAGTTAGCGTCTCGCTTGCTTATCGATTGGATGAAATACATGATTTTGTTTTCACAGGTTGCATGGGTTTTAATCAAGAAAATGCAACATGAAATGCAACGTGAAAAAAATAAAAATTGTAGCATGTAATGCACTGAGCATTGTTTGAGTTTGAATTTTTGGGGTGTAGTAATTAGCTGCATTTTATTGAAATGGTACATCCTTCTATGATATTGACATGATGGAAAGGAACATTTTTTTATCCATTATCTTTAGGTCACCTTTTCCCGAGGCTATTACTCTGCGATCAACCTTTTTTGTTTAAATGACTAAGGGTGTAGACCACTAATTCAAGTGAGAATATCTGGCCAGCTCATTAGCATTAAAAGTGCCCCCCACAGTATCTTTTGAAAAAGGAGATTGTTTGGCCCCCAAAATGACGAGATTGTGTAAATAGTTGCCGGGATCAACTCCTTGGGTCTTTGAGCTTTCATATGAGAGCAGAAGGGCTAAAAACTACGGTTGGAAAATGGTCCTAAGTGCTTGAGAAAGTTGAGGGTTGCCACTTGAAAAATGGCTGCAATCAGACTTCGGGAAAATCACTTTTTGGGGGGTNGTTAACCCACAAAAAATTGAAAAGAATTTGAAAGATAAGTGACCAGACAAGAATTCAATTTGTGTTTCAGAAATGCAGGGATGTTGGCGTGCATGCTATTGGGCCCTGAACAGTGCTGATTTTTAACTGTTTTCAATGGGGCTTGAATTAGTGGACTGGACCCCTATTAAGGTTTTCCAATGTTGCACATGTTTGTTTTTATCAAAGAGAGCAAAGCGCCCTCTAGTGATGATTTTAGAACAGAACATAATTAAACACTAGTAATGTAAACGTCATCCTTTGCCAGGGGAGTTTGCTGGCGGAAGTTGAATTCTGCAAGTCACTCATGCTGCGTTTGGTGTTGGGTTTGGAAGGTGGAAGTTGACTTAATCGTGATCTGTGCTGACAAACAATCGCCAAGATGTCTTTCTGCTCGTGGGGAGGTGAAAAATACAAAAACCACTTTGACGCGGGTAAGAAAATGCGTCCGTCCGTGGCTCCCGTTCGTGTAGGCCGGCCAGGCCTTACGTAATGGTTTAGCGTGTTTACACGTACATTTAGTTACTCATGTTACCGTGTGCTGGTGTGTCGGAACGAGTGCCTATGTTTTGTTTTCTTTTCTATATGAATATCAGGTCAGCACCATGTTCGAGTGTCACAGAAGAAGTTAAACTCCAACAAGTTTTGAAATGGGGTTCAGGACTTATGGTCACATGGGGGAAAGGTTGTGAACCATGATGTTCAATTACACGGGAAACTTGAGTTGTGATGGTCTGCGATCCAGGATTCTTAAAATACAAAAGGATAAAAAAAAAGACAGTACCATCATTAATGCATGACATTGCAATTATCAGTCCAACAAACTTTTTGTTGATCCTGTAGTTTCTGCCTTTTTAAAATTTATGAAAGTAAACTTACTTTTTTTTACTAGGCTAAGTCTGATGTTGGTCCTCCCGGCTTGTTTTTTTAAATTCAAAGGTACTCCATACAAGAGGCTACAAATATTTGTTGATTTGCAACAAATTATCATGTGATATATCCTGTGCTTTACACTTCCACTTTGAATCATAATAATGCTCAAGTTGCTAGACTATGAATATGGATTAAATCATGGAATTCATCCCAATAAAATCAGTCCTACCCTAGAACTCGGGGGGGGGGTGTGAACAAGTCTGTGGTTATCAAAATTATTTTTGGGTGACACAGCCATAAATACTTATAAAGAGACTTTAGTGACAATAAATATTAATTGGAACTGCCAACTCCGGTTCACAATCATTCCAGCTCATGCGTCAAAAAACCAATATCATTCAATAAAGTCTGATTCTAATGGCACGTTATTAAGCATTTATCCCACAGCAGTTTGCATCCTTAACAATTGCATTAAAGAATGTTAAAAAGCTCAAATGCTGTTGTTTTTTAGATTTTAATTTATGTTGTGTATCTTTCTGAATGGTTGGAGTTTTTGTTAATACAATGTTGTACATATTTTTTGTGTCTGTATTTTTTATTGTGATATTTTAATGGTTTTTAAAAACAATTTTAGACACACAAAAGCAAAATGTATTTTGCAAGGAGGTGACAATGAAACAGCATAATAATGACAATAATAAAAACACTTAGTGACTGATATGTCAAAAAGGAGAATTAGATAATCTCTCTTGAATGCAGGTCGTAATGAATAAACTTGCAACTGAAATAAAATCCCAAGACTTATTTTGTTGGATTCTGTCACAAATCAGATTCAGTGAAGTGAAGATAGACCTATCGTAAGTGACCAATTGCTCCCTTTAAATGTTGTTTTCTGTTCCGTGACCCGCATGTAGGTATCTATGTCTGCTCAAGCTGTGGTCATGAATTATTCAACAGCGTGTCAAAGTTCAAGCATTCCTCTCCATGGCCAGCATTTACGGACACTGTCTACCCAGACAGTGTCTCCAAGAGACCTGAGGGCTCTCACGCATACAAGGTGAGTTACATGTGCGTCACTACACCAGCACTGTGGGATTTTTAATTGTTCCATATGATACTGACTAGTTTTAGTGCTATCGTTATTCCTAGCATTTCGCTGTATCATCTTTCGGTTCCACTTCAGTGAGAACATCAGCTCATCTTATCTTATCAACCACCGGGAGAAATATGACAAATAATTGTCAAAGATTATGAAACCCGATACAGTTTACATGTATCCGAGACCTCGTCTGGATATGTTAGATCTTGAGTACTGTTTATCGGGAGGCCTTAGTGCTGTTGGGAACAATACAGTCTTCTATTATTACTCCAATACCAATGGCTAGTTTTCATTTTCCTCTGTCCTTTTGTTTTCTCCCTTTTTGTTTCCTTTTTCCTGTTTTTTGTGAGTCTGTTTTCTAAGTGGATGCCGGTGACCAGTTTGTTTAAAATTTGTCCCATTTTTTTTGGGTAAAAAATTGCAGTACTGCTGCAATCTGTCACTTGGAACTTTGGCATATGTTACAAGAAACGAACCCATATCAGCGCAAATGTTGACTTGTACAATATGCTTATTTCTTATGTTTCAAAGGTTTCCTGTTCCAAATGTGGCAATGGTCTTGGGCACGAGTTCTTGAAAGATGGTCCCGATGGGAAATCACGTTTCTGAATATTCTCCTCTGCCCTTGAGTTTAAAAAGGGCAAGAAAGGTAAGCCTGTAGGAACAGAAGTAACACTCTTGACCCTAACCCTCCCAAATCATGCAAAATCCACCAGGAAGGTTTTGGAGGATTTTGTTGGATTGAGGAAATAGAACCCAGCCACTGTTACTTTACAAGGGGCTTGATAGGCACTGAAAGTGTAGCCTTTAATCCATGAAAGGCCAGTACTTTAAAGAGCAACTCAAAGGAAAACATGTTTTCTCTGATTTTATCCGTTCAAATAAATATGGCAGCATCCAAATTGAACGTTGCGTCATTTGTCTTTACAGCTCAAGTATAACAAGATAAAAAGGGCTTTTTTTTCTGTTCATGCCAAGATACGAATTCTAAACATGCTGAATGTAGATTGCATCATTCTGAGAAAACGAGGGAAATCCTCGCCCAGTGTTCGTAGTGGATAAGCGTTGTGCATGCCAAACAATGGCTACAAATAGTGGCTACATGCGCTGTTTGACATGCACAAGGGTTTATCCACTACGAACACTGGGCAAGGGTTCCCCATGTTTTCTCTGTTTTCTCAGAATGACGCAATCTACATTCAGCATGTTTAGAATTCGTATCTTGGCATGAACAGAAAAAAAGCCCTTTTTAGCTTGTTGTAGTTGAGCTCTGAAGACAAATGACACCGCGTTCGATTTGGACACTTTCATATTTATTTGAACAGAAAAATTCAGAGAAAACATGTTGTCCTTTGAGTTGCTCTTTAATGCTGAAGTGTTTTGGGAGAAACACACTCATAGAACAGTATATAGTGGTTCTGTGCGGAGAATGTATCATTGGTTTCCTGCTCAGTGGGAGATGTAGGATAATCTAAGAAATTGTTGTGGCAAAAATGGGGAGGGGTGTGTAGGTCAGGGTGTCATGCAGTTCAGTGCTTGAATTTCAATGTACATGTACGTTGTGTAGTCTGCACCAGTGGCAGGATTTGCGTGCCAAATATTCATTGGCCGAGACAATTGCACATAGTGAATTCTTCTTCTGTGGAAACAAAAAAGAAAAGGAAAAGCATCCAAGTTTGAATAATAACAGCGTGTAACACAACTCTTTATGTAGAAGTAACAATAATATTGTGTTGAAATACTTATTATATGGTGTTACGGTGACAGTGTTTTACATTTTAGAATTTCCATGTGTTGAAGTAACCACAAAGCGTCACCATTTGTCCAAATTTGTACACTTTCTCTACAGAGAAGACTGGAGTAGCCAAGAAGTAGGCTGCAGTAAACCACCCCAATTCAGAGACATGGGACTATGACACTAGTAGACATGAACTACGTGAATTAATGTAACAGCTCTTTGGGTTTAACTATTTATTTATTTTATATATTTATTTATTTCAGTCATTACTGAAATAAATGACATGCATTTGAACTTCAGTTTTCTTGTGCAGCACATTTTGACATTTTATTGAAATTTTTTATAACATTGGCAGACACACTGAATTTGGTCGGAGTGGACAACCTAATGATATTGAGCCATGTCTAATCTTTCAACTTTCCTAGATCCTCAAAAATCCACCAGGAGGTTTGTTTTTGAGAATTTGCCTCTTTTTCTTGGAGTGATGGATTTTGGAGGATGTAGGAAGGTACCTAGCCGCATGATTGGAAAGTAACTTCTGCTGCCATTCTTCAAGTTCAGATGGGCATTGTTTGCTTGCTCTGAGCTATCAATCAATCATGGTGTGTAATTCTGCAAATCTGACTGCTTGAGATTCATTATATAGGTGGCAAAATGTCCCTGAGGTCAAATGCTCTTCTATTGAGGGTTTTCAGTTTGTGGCAAGATGGATGTCAAGATGTAGCTGTGCACTCCAATCTGATTCTGTTCTGGTTCTGTTTGTGATGTCATTGTGCATTGTTCGTGTAAAACCAAGCAGAACTGTACACAGGCTGTGTGTCTGTTATAACTTATGAACTGTGCAAAAACTCACTTTTGACAGCAGTTGAGTGTAGTTTGTTTTACCTATTTTGTTTTGGCGATTTATTTTGCTCTTTAATCTATTCAAGTGCGCATTCTGTCTTCTGGGTAGAGAAGGACTTTTGACGAAAGCATCTAGGGCTGAATTTCGATCATGCGAAAACTTGTCACATATGCGTAGATCCATGTCTCTGTCGGAAATATGGCAGTGGGTTTCCATGGCACCGTATTGGCCAGCCAATGAAGTCCTCAGGTTGAAGCCCAGCATCGGGAAGGCCAGAGAACTGATGCACGTACAGGCCCTGCCGTGCCAACCCACGGCCGTATCCTTTCTTAAACCAACAGCAACAACATCTCAGTTAATGCAGACATAATTTGACGTCACGGCGTTCAACTGTTTAGAGGACACGTACAAAAAAACCAAATTTGAAAAGGGTTGTAGAAAAAGCCTCAGGATTCGAACTCTTTAAAGTCTTGTTATTTTAGCATTTCTATTGCATATTGGGAGTGTGCTATGGCACTTTTGGTTTAGTTTCCAAACCTTGAATCAAGATTGTTTGGATATTTTTCGACGGGTGACTTCCAGACTTTTTGATCCACAGTACCCAGATCCATGTGCAAATATTCAAACTTGAAGTGACAACTTCAGGGGAAGTATTATAATTCTACTCAATTTATTTTTGGTACACTTGTCCTTCTATTAAAATATATTTGACCAGTGCATAAGGAATAGTGTATATTTGCACAAGGAGAAGGCATTGTGTAAACTATCTTGCATTTTGAAAAAATATATTGATGGAGGAGATGTTAAATTTTTATGTCAAGGTGAACACTGAAATACGTGTAACAGGTCACAGCAAAATTTGGTGTGCTTAGACCTTTTTATTTTTAAAATGGTTCCTTCTAGAGTTGACATAAAAGCTGTTTGTATTTTTGTGCACAGGCTTGGTTATGTGCCTCGGTAAATTGAGCGATTTTTACAAACTCTCTTTCAAAATGCAGCAGAGAAGAAAGTTTTGAGGCTAATGTCAGATTTACTGGTGTATGGGTGCTTTCAAGGATACAGAAACAGTATTTAGGTGTGTACATATATTTGTGTCATTCTGTAAATTCAGGGTCCAAATGTGGGACCGTTTTATGTCCCTGTTACACCCAACCGGCAAAATTGAGATTAATGTCAAACTATCTTTACTTGCTTTGCTGGTAAGTTGCATTTCTCAAACACTCTTGGGACTTAGGGATGCGTTCTAAACTCACCAAATCATATGTAAGATGTGACTGGGACAAACAAAAAATTGAATTTAAAGAATGACTTGTATGTATCATGTTTTATGTCAAAATATACCATTAAATATCTTGTGGTTTTTGTCATGTAACTCTAATCACAATGTAAAACCATCAAGTCTTTGGTGTTCTATGTATGTGTAAGTTACTTGTCTGTCCAGACACACGGTAGATTTGATCAAGGGTACGCAACCACAATTTTGTGCTTTTCCATTAAAAACAATTGAAACTATAGTGTGTTTGTACATATATATTACATTTAAAAAAGTGACTATTGGATACAGTGATTTCCTTCATGGAAAAGGAAAGAAGTGACATTTCTTCCTGGTTATGTTGTCAGCTGCAGGTAACTTCCTGCATTGCCATTAGAAGTTTCCAATAGAGGTAGACACATACCAGTTTAAAGTGTCCAAACGATTGCCACAGACAAGTACTTTACTGTTTACACAGAGACCATTCTTGTACTAAATAATAAACATGTGTTCTTTTACATTTAAACTTGTGTTTTAAACTAATTTCATATTTCTATGACATATATTGTACAAGTAATCGTTCACTTTGTTCATTTTTGAAACTTCAAATTTATATGTACTGTGTTGAATCAAAATTAAAGAAATTAATTTCATGTGATCCATCTAATTTCTGTAAGTCGCAAAAGATATGTGTTCAACCTTTTCATCCATTCACCTGAAGTATCTCAAGTGACCTTTGGTTTATTCTTGACACCTTCAAATCTCGCACCCGAAGTGTACTTTTAACACGACTAACAATGGGCTATAGTGTCCGCCTGTTTGTGAGAGGGTTGTGTCAGATTTTCCATTCTCACCCGTTTCCTTCACGCATTGCACCTGGCTGCCAAATATCCCAAAATGGCAGTGTTGTATCCGAGTCCAGTCACAAGTCCCTTCACAAGGCCAGTCAGAAGTAACAGGGTGAATAATGATCAAAGAATGCTTCTGTCACAGCTCATTTGAATAGCTTGTGAATTGGCTTAAGACTGAATGACTTGCAATGGACCTGTGATGGACTTACAGGGACTTGTGATGGACTGACAGGGACCTGTGATGGACTTACAGGGACTTGTGATGGACTTACAGGGACCTGTGATGGACTTACAAGGACTTGTGATGGACTGACAGGGACCTGTGATGGACTTACAGGGACTTGTGATGGACTTACAGGGNGTGATGGACTCGAATACAACAATGGAAACTGGAAATAATGCAGGGTTGATGCATGTTTCATTGGCCCCAAAGTGCTTATCGGTAAGCAGCATGAGGCCATTAAGTTTGAAATTATGACCACCACACTGGGGTGATGATTTGGCTGCCATTTACTTCACCCAGTGTCACTCCAACTACTGACTTGTTTCTCCGGATCTACAACCAACTGTTCCTTACTGTCCTGCGCCGATATCCCCTGGTAACATTTCTGTTTCTGCTGGGCGTTTTCACGCTCAGGATCTTTCTCTTTTTGATCAGCGTTGTCCAGCGTATTATCCTGACCTTGAGGTAAATCTAAATTTTCCTCGTTTGTCGGCTTTTCAGTTATCTCTTCCGTGTTATTTTTTTGATCCTGTGCTGTCGTAGAGGCGTCCTTCGTTTCTAGGATTTCGGGGGCTGCCTTGGCACTTCGGCCAGGGGAGGCTTTCCGGGCAGCATCTCCATCCCCAACGATCTCTTGCAAGTTGTACCGCTTGAACTTGCTAAAGTCCCTCAGGACACTGAGACAACAGACGTGCTTGATGATTTCGACAACCACAGACAAATCCGGGTTGTCCAGATCGACTTTATGCTTCGGGCCTTTGCACGTTACCTCAGTAGCCAACAACTTGATGATGTCGTCTCGCTTGAGGGTGCCGTTGTTTCGGATCTTGATCCTGACGGCGAACGTAGCCGGCGTGACGCCATCCGTGTGGAAGTACGGGTAGAGGAATTCTGGGGCGTGCTTTGAGATATCTTCGATGCTGGCACGACAAGTGACACTGACTGGCAGCATGCGCATGATATGGCAGGATTTGCATGTCTGGGTGTTGGCTATATCAGTCATTATGTGGTGCACCAACTCCGTAGGATCCACCAACTGAAACCAATTGCAATGGTAAGACACTGTGATAACTCATGAAGGTGAAGTTAACCCTAACAGTACCGGGCATTGTATGGCTTAGAGTACTCATTACTACAAAATACTACGTAACACTCTGAGCCTGAAGGACCTAGCGCTACAAATTACTATTTCTGGCTAGGTTTATTCCATTGTTACTCGTACAGAGAACAATGAAACCATGCATTCGTAGTGCCACAGCATTGTATGGTACATTGTCTTCTCGACTGTGTTTTATGGCTTCAGAGAATAATAAAGTCATGTCCTCTTACAAGCGACAGGGCTGAGTACCACATTTTACTACTAAGTAGTACTTTGTAGCATTCAGGACTGTTAGGATTTGGGCTGAATGCAATTTTTTCTGGTTGAAAATCAGAGGATTTCAGAGGATTCAGGATGGTTCCTAGTAAAAAGGCAGAGGGGGTTAGGGTTAAACAGTTGAAATATGTCAGTCTTTGTCATTGCTTGTAGTTAAAACTACTTGCTTTCATTATGTGGTATCAAAGGTTGAAGAAAACTTCCTGTCCAATAGTCTCTCCAAAGGGTAATTAAGATAGTGTTATGAAACTTGAATGCACGTTCTGTTGTGCACTTCATGCTCATGAGAAGCCACGATGGGTTTGTGCACATTCTGGTGAAAATCAAATGAGCATGCTTTGTACTATACGTGCACAGACTAGCATGCACACAGTATGCCCATCTGTGCTAGAACTGAGAGTGACCTTTTGAACACACATCAACTGTTTTTGTTCATAGCCCATTACGAACATGGAGAATGCTGTTGCCAAAGCAATGAATAAAAAATTGGTTTCAGTTTAGTACATGTACCTGGGTTCTGATGAAGATGACATTCTTGGCACCACTGTTGATTGCCTCAAACCTCATCTCCTTCTGTTCTCGTTTCTGTTTCATCTCGGCTACTTCCCTGCGCAGCGAGGCCTCTATATCTTCAGGCTCAGATTCCGATTCTGAAAAATAGGCAGTCCAGCTGGCTAGGTTAGAGTGTGGTCAACGAGATGACAAATTTACAGTGAAGAGCTCAGAAAGGTCTATAGTTGTGTCACAGGCTCTAAAACGCTAATTTGAGTGGCGGGGGGCATCGCTGCTTTTTTCTTTTCTGCTGTTAGTGGACATCAACAGAAAACTTCAGGACAAAATCAGAAAATGGTCAGGAATTATCTGTTCTTGGGGAGTCAAAGCTGGATGGTGACTGACACCCATTTCTCGTGACGCTTGTAATTATCAAACCAACAGAGAGGATATAAACTTTCTAGAAATAATCAGTACTGATCATATAACAGTGAACTTCCATACTGCAGATGTACAGCTTTTGTCTTTTATTTTGGGGATTTCAGTTAAAAATAACATGGGCACAAGAAGAAATGGACCCTGAATGGTGAACATTTGACATCTAGACCTAACCATCTCGTTACACTCTCTTAGTTTAACTTTTCTTTGTCTACAAAGCTCTGTAGCAAATAAACCTCACATCAACAGTTATCCTACTCACCACTTCCAGAGCTAGCATCGTTATCCCCTCCCATTTTCTCTGGACCATACAGCTTGTCGGCGTACTCGCTCAGCAGGGAGTAGGCCTCGCGGAGGCAGAGCAGCTCCATGCGGTTACAGGTCAGGAGAAAGCCTCTCATACCCACGTCCAAGAACCTGTCCCTTCGCATCTTCTTGCCAGAAGGCAGGCTACTCTGGATGTAGAAGGCCTTGGATCGCTTCTTGCCTCTTCTCTTATCTGCCATCTTACAGAACTAGGCCAAACTTCAAAGTCAATTCTGAGTGAAAGAAAAAGGCAAAACATCATACATTGAACGTTTAGTGAAATAAAGTCCATAAAGATATAAGCAGGCCTTGTCCTAAGTTACAAGTTCTTTATAATTTAAGTACTACAACTAGGCCTACAACTAACAAACTTTTACAAAAAGTAGGCAGAAGGAGCTAAACTGGGTCGACCCCCCCCAGCGATCACATTCATACTTACTAATGATGTTCAAGGGGTAGGCATGATAGGGGCGCTAGCCAAGCTAAAGCTCTATGCCAACAGGAAAAACACACGACTGATAGCGCCTAGCAGACGTTGCAAAGGACAGGCGCCGACTGAATTACTGAGGACTCAGTGAATAGGAGGACTTACGTGAAAAACAACTGTTCTCAAGAAAAAGTACGCTCATGAATGTCTTGATACCTGAGACTGTCATGCACATGCGTGACCTCCGGCTGAAGTAAATACCGCCCTCATTTGGTTGTAATTTCCCGCCTTCACGGTGGCAAGAAAGTCGCACATGCGCCTTCTACACGGTAAGTGGTTCAGTGTTTATGATATTAGTGTGTTTTGAAAGTTTTTAAGATCTTGGAGGAAATTAGTCCTGCATCTTGAGAGAGACAGGAGACTGTCAGAATTCGTAAGGCATGTAAGGCCCGCCCAAAGGGCGGGTCAAATCTGTGCATGACAACAGAAACGAGCACTGAACCAACTAGCCCCACTAGTGTGGCACGGATCACTCCCGAAAGATAAATCGAGTGATCCGTGCCACACTAGTGGGGCTATGAACCAACGGGCATTGCATGATAAGACACAGCAAGGCAATGCAAAAAGGTCGGATGACCGGACAAGTATCTGAGTGTATGCCATGAAAAAAGTTCTGAATCTGAATCGTATAGTCGGCAAAGCCTCCATCAGGAAACATCACATCAACTTTATTATTCATAATCAAACATTTTATTGATCAGCATTCACAATTTGGAGTTTAGAAGAAGGTCCAGTTTGCATTGGGAAACCGGAGTACCTGGAGAAAACCTACGAGAGTGGGTATGGACTGGAAATCAAATGCACTTAAAGCCTGGGCCAAGCTGGGATTCGAACCGGGCCTCCTTCATGCAAAGTGAGGAAAGAACCGCTACGCCAATCTGCTCAGTTCCATATGGTTGCCGCTTGACACCCTGTGCACGAACCCTATGAGGCTGGTCTGAAAATTTTAAGTGTTTTCTAAGTAACTGACTTGGCTTTTTCCCTCCTAAATGGAACTTTTCTGGACATGTTTTTGCTTTCTGACTTCTTACAATAACAGATTACAGTAGGGAATCGTAATTAGGCTTACTGGTGTCTGTGGAACACTTCCCCATGCCATTAGGCCCACTAGCGGTTCGATTACTTTCCTTTGTGTACTTGTGGAATCACGTTTGGGAAATAATTCCATAATTGCCACTAAAGTGCCAATAATTTTTCCTTCCAGTGACCTGTTAGCATCTAGGCCTATGTCCTTCAAAATCGAATTTAGCAACATTGATGTCTTAGAAAACAGGAGATCAGATCAGTCTCATTGGGTTTGTGTACAGGGTAGAAAGTGCTGTTTGCATATGGAATTCCCATCCCAGATATTGATAAGTAATTTGTGATGGGTTCACTGGCACAAGAACCCACCTATAATGGATGGAGCAAACAGTGCTGGGACCACAAATCAACTTAACCAGATCTATGTGAAAAAAAAACAAGACGTTACATTCATGGATTTCATCACATTTCACTGTGGGGAAAGGGACATAACTTTGATTAAAACTAATGCAAGCTCAAAGTACAAAGCCCTAAAACAGTCCAGACCCGCTGAAGGTCCCAGGAAATTTTGGATTCCAGCACTTTTTGGTGTGACCTTAGGCAATTTCACGGTGACCACTTTAACTACATTTTTTTGGCAAATGCTTTGGCAAGATTTATTTCATTTTTTTTTCAAATAATTTCTATCTGAAATATGAATAAAATGTAGGCCTACTCCCTCCCCCTACATTTTTTATTGAGAGTGCAAACAAAAGTGGAGCAGACAAATGATATGACGTTCCTCCTCTTCAAAAGTGGGGGACTATTTCCCCCTCATCCCCACACCGACAGACAGCCATGCTATTACCACATATTGTATATAGCTGCCTCAACCTATGACGCTACAGTTAAGCTTAAGGGAAGAAGTCAAATTGATGATAATGTCTTGCTAGAATCTGTAGTAACAACGTTTTTACTCTTGGAAATTTTTTTTTTCAGATTTTCCTCAAGAAGTCTTGCTGAAATGCATTATTTGTCAAGTTTCATCATTCATTTATTAAGGATACAATTACAATACCTTAGACAAGTCCATTTTAAGAGGTCCCAAAGTACGGATTACCCTCTGCATGGTATCTTAATACTGGCACTGAAAATTGTAGTGAAAAATTAAAGTGTCTGAAATTCAGTCCAGAAAGTCAAAATAATTGCGCCTACAATTCGGGAGCAAAATCGGGCAGAGGGCTCACTTTTTGTGTGGCCTCTTGAAGTTTAAAGGTCATGTTTAACCATTGCTTTCTTCATTCACAATACCCAGTATTCACAATACCGCATTCTTCAGAAAATTGCTTACTCCATTTTAGGGGAATTGTTTGAAACAAGTCTTTTGTTGTCTTTCGTTGCCAAGGTTACGTTGTCACCTTGAAGCTAATAGATGGAACCCACCACAATTTCACTCGTTGAATTAGGGGCTTAAACCACATCACAGCACTGAGAAGGTTCCAGAGTTAGCTCCATTGTTATTTCATGGAGTTTAGCATTTTCCACTTTTGACTACCTCCACCCAGGGACCTTCACCCCTTGTTATTAAGTCACCTGTTTGAGTTCAGGTTAAATACCCATGTGCACTGTTGTCATGTAACTACATGTATGGTAAATATTCCAGTTTCAAAATAAATGTTGGAAAAGAGACTAATTCTGAGGAAGTGGAGGATGGATTTTTGCTGCATGCTGATTGAATTAGTGTTCATTTTGAAGTTCCTATCAACAGGGGTTACATGCCACTAGCCTTGATCCAACAAGGAGGAATGACCATCAGTACAATACCGGTCAAGTTCTAGTCATGAGCAACAGATCCCATACAGAAATTGGCAAAGATTAAGTTGACAGTGAATCCTTTCTGCTCTTTGTTCAGGCCATTTTGTCCCCTCTTGCAAATAAGTGAAAGTCACATAAATTAAGCAGGGGTGTAAGAATTCAGCTCTTTTTCTTTTTTGTTTAGATAATGACCCTGAATTTTCAGCTTTTGTGTACTCTGGGTCTGTACAAAAGTATGGGAGCTTTTTGCTAGCTGTTTTCAGCTTTAATTTTAAGTGGCCACTCACACCCCTTATTAAGGAACTTAGGGAAGGACACCAGTGAAGCAAACAACCAGCAATCATAGTGACACATCCTAATTATTGTATTGGGAACAGGAGGTTGAGCCAGAACGGTTCCCACCTCAGAGCGTATAGGGCACTGACCAGCCGTTCATTTTTGTTCCACCAAAAATTAAGAAGGCTTCCCTCCAAATTTTGAAGCAGACAAGTTAAACATTTCTCCTTGTCCTATTTCTCAAATAATTAAACGGGCCACCCCTGCCGATAAGGAAAAGAAAGCTGTCAGTTAATGATAATCTTCAGGGAAGAGTCAAAAACTATTACAGTCTTGAAAAGGGAAAACTGATGGTTTGTGGTGTGTTGATAGTTCAACCACAGAACCGTCTTGGTTCTCCTGTCAAACAAACCTAGGAGTCAGCTTAACTCCTTCCCAAAAGACTACACATAACTGACAGTATGAAAGTGCACATGAGATCCACCCCTATCCAGCTACCCCCCTCCCCCGCGCTATGATACAAGCAATGCAAATGACTCAGGCTCATTGGGACAGTTCCAAACTCTCTGCAGTTGTTTGGTGACATTTCATGAGAAGACCTTATTTTTTCACTCTATCCATTTGGAAAGAAATTTTAGACAGAAAATTTGTGCCAATCTTTTCAAAGTTTTATCCCGTCAGTTTCATTTTTGTTTTGCAAACGTATAATAATGCTTTATTTATTTTCTGCAGGTTAGTGGTTGAAAATGGCCATTTGATGTCATAACACAGGTATGTTTGAGCTCCATCTGTAATTAGAGGTCAAAGGTGAAAGGTGATTCCCTTCAATTTTGCAGTTTAACCTATTTCCAATTGGTGGATAGTATTATGTGCATCTCACATTTACAGCCAAGAGTTTATGAATTTTAATATCCCCGTTTTACACATAGTGTGACCACTAGCAAAATGGTTATTTCAATTTCAGAGTTTGTGCAGCAGATAAAAAATCAGGTTGCAAGGTTCTCATCCTTTCCATAATTGCGAAAAAATAACCCAAATTTGGTAGACATTTGGCAATTGTATAGCAAAGTTGAAAGTAATCGAGAGAAATTTTGAACTTAAATAAATATAACAGAAAAGGCCGATTTTGCCGGGATCTGAAAATAGATTGCCTTTTGAGAACTCTTTAAGGATACATCCAACACACCATAATGCATCACTCTGAAAAAGATTAAAATGTATTTGAAGGAAAAGCATGCCAGGAAGAAATGTACATTTCAAAAAATTGCTCACAGTTGAAGTGTTGATATTCATCATCGCAATAGACAATGAAATGAAAGCCTGTTGGAAAAGAGTTTTTGTTTTCATGTTATAGATACTGGAGTAAAACTTTGAGGTTTACTCCAACAAAAACTTGGCAAATTTCTGTAGGCTGTTAATATTTACACAGGTCATTTGGTTTTCCTTTGCCAGGTAGCGGCACCAGCTGGTTGGTACTTGTCACCAATGCCTGGTCCTTCCAAGATGCACGATGTCACCAGCAGCTCCAAAGGAAGGAGTCAATCAGACAGATGTCCAGAGGAGTTTAGGGAAGGACTTGATTGGGAACTCACTTTGCATAGAGAAAACGGGACTTTCTTTTTCATTAATGAACTATACCCCTACTGAACTTAAATCTAGCTCTTAAACACGCATTCTAGCTGCAGCTTACAGGATTTGAATTTTGTAAAGATGTTTTTTCAGGATATGTAAATTGACGGTATCTCATTCATATTCATAGTCGAGTGCCAATTTCTCATTGGTCAATGAACCACGCATGCAAGGCTCTATAAGTGATCATGCAAAGTATACTATGCTACTGTACCACTATCTTTATGTTAGTACATAAATACTCCATGGCTTATTTTGGGTAGATACTCTATATTAGTTCCTCCAAGTCAGGAAACAATATGCCTTGCAAGATATCTCCTAGCAACAGTCAAATCTTGTTATAGTTGTATAAGACACTTGAATTTGATCAGTGTGCTTCAGGTAAAAAATAAAATGAGGAAAGGGAACCCTTGTTAACGTCCATTGCTTGGCTTATTTTGCCTCACTGATTTTGTCTCGTTTTGCATCTTTTTGTTGGAAAGAATCATCCTTGCGGCATCGCATCATTTCTGGAAATCTATTATTGCCCCCTGAAAATTTGAACGACATGAAACTGAGACTGAAAAGGCTCTTTCGGTTTCGTGTAAAACACTTCGAAAAATGTTGACTCTGTGTAATCTTTGTACGACCATTTGCAGCAAATGACTCGGTAAAGGCATGGAGGTAGGTTTCCTACCTCCATGGTAAAGGATGGATATTTCCCATAGAAATTCACCTAAAAATAATATGCTTCCTCCTAATAAAGTTCATTGCTCGAAATGGACAGATTTCAGAATTCAGAAAAAACGTCGAGTTTAATTTCAGTTAGATTTTTGCTTTACTTTGCGATGCCTGTGGTAACTACTTCATCCATGCTTCATCCAAATGCAAGTTTTAGTAGCAGCAGCAGGAGGTCGTTTATTATTCAGCTTCTACGTCTGGATAGAAGTCTACTAACAACCAGAATGCACTGTAACCGAAGCAGATCACGTGACAGGTACCGGGAACCAATAACAAAAGAAGAGGGAGTGGTGTGGCGTGGTAAAAATCGAAAAGCTGGAAGGCAAACGCATTGCACAATTCCCTTTTCAAGTACCGGGAAACTAGAGGCGAATACAAGACGTTTTTAGGTTATGCTCCCTTTGCACACACGTAAACTGAATGGGTCAAACGGCTGCAAGGAAGGCTAATTCTTTTATTGGTTTCTTTTGTTCCGTCTTACCCGAACAATAAAATGTTTCGAGGCTTACAGCGGATTAAACGCTGCTATCTTTCGTTACGCTTGAGTGAACAACAATAGGGAGAATTGAAGCAGAAAATCTCGAAAAACTCGCCTTTAAAAGCATTTCAGCCAACAAAATGATGCTTTTTACAGAGGAAATTACATAATAAACCAGACTATAGTTTCGAAATTCGAAAATTCCCACGGAATAAAAAGTTAGCTTTTTTTGACTGGTGGGTTCCACTGTAAAACTTTCCACCCGCGAACGTAGGTGGCGCTGTTTCATGTAGGAAACGGTTTGCGTTCTGTGCTGAAGATCGTGCACCCACAGTACACGCACAACCCGTACCGACCGCTTTGCGGTACCGTAACGTTTGCCGAGAAGAAAACAGCGCCACCTACGTTCGCGGGTGGAAAGTTTTACAGTGG